TCATATTTCAGTGTTCTTCAGCCCTCTAGTTGCCTTCTCAGTAGCCTTCCAAACTGGAATGTATTGTAAAGATAATGCATGTTCTACATAACAGATTAAGATCAGATAACTATACTGTATATAAAATAAGCAAAAATTTTCTCATAGCAGTGATAACCTCTCACTTGATCCACAGAATGAATATCCTTCTAGAATGTTATTTTGCGTGTATACATACCCTTTTGTATTGCACAGCAAACTTTCTACACAAGTAAAACATAATATTGTTTCTTACACAAGAGTTGACACTTAAAATCGGTGAATAAAGTGAAAAATTGTATCTGATTAAAATGATCCTGGTAAATGTTTCAGGAATTTAACTGTCAGTTATTAGTACACAGTTGATTTTTCCTCTAGTAGAGTCATTGTTTCTTCAGCTGAGCACCTGATGAAGTAGTTGGTTTGTGTTTAAGTGACCTCTTACAGTGAAAACACATAATTGAACCACCAGCTCTCTGTAGTGAAACGTGGACCTAGCAAAAGTTCACATCACAAGAGGCACCTGAAAACTAAGACTGCCTGAAGGAACCATCTTTTTTTTTTGAAATGCAGTCTGTGTTGCCCAGGCTGGCCTCAAACTTGCTGTCCTCTCTGCTAAGTATCCTGAGTAGCTGGGATTACATGTTTGTGTAAAGCTGCTAAAAATGTTTGTGTGCAGGCTTCTTTGTGGACATCAATTTTGACTCATTTGAGTAACAAGGAGCATTAACTGTTAAATATGGAATAAGTATGTTTAGTTTTTTAAAGGATATACGCCTTGTCTTGCAGTGTAGGCTTGCATTTTGCATTCTCATCAGCAATGGGTTTCTCTAAACCTTTGCCAATATATGGTGGTGTCAGTGCTTCTGACTTTAGCCATCTTATTAGGTGTAGAGTGCAATCCAGTTGTTTTAATTTAGTTGCCTAATGACATTTGATGTTGAGCATCTTTATATTTGCCATCTGTGTCTTTGGTGAGATGTCTGTTCATATCTTCTGCTCATTTTTATTGGATTTTTACATTGAGTTTGACAAGTGTGTGTATACTTTGGATACTGCTCCTTCATCAGTAGGTGTTTTGCAGATAGTCTTTCCTCATCTGTGGCTTGTCATTCTCTTATACCCCACTCCTCCAGCTCCATTTCTCATAGAGTAGAAATGTTACTTACAATGATATGTTATTGCGGAGCCACGGTCGGGAAGCGCCAGTCTTCAGACCAGCTGGCCCTGCCTCGTAGGACCCCGGAGGGTAGGCCTCGGGTGCATGGGGAGCCACGGGCGCAGAGCTCAGGTCTTCCAGCCGGCTCACTTCCTGCCTCGTAGTTGCCTGGAAGGAGGGGCCCAGGCACACGGGGAGCCACGGGC